CACCAGGTCCCTAAAGGGAAGAGACCCCATAGAGGAGCAGTCTGTGTGGCCTAGCAAACAGGTACCATGGGCTCCCCGTGAACCCAGGAGAGAGGTTTATGGGGAGACAGAAAACTGGAAATCCCAAGGCAGAAGGAGGGAAGAGAAAAGAAAAAAAAAGGAAAGGGCAGGAGAAAAAAACAGAAAGTATGGGAAAAGTGAAAGAAAAGAGAAAAATCTGAGAGTGAAAAAGGGAATGGGGAGAACACCACAGAAAACAACCCAGAGGAGACAGGCAGACAAACAGGCCCTTAGGAGAAGCCTCCCTCCCCACTGTGGACAGTGCAGCCCAAGCTGCCCCTTGCTCACCCTCAGATGCCTGCTGGGTCCTGGGCCTGAGGACTCCCACAGCTCCGGCCAGGCAGGGCCAGTGTGTGTTCAAGTGTGTTGTGTGCCTGCCCAGCCAGTCTGCGTCCAACCTGTGCTGGTCTTGCAAATAGCTTGGCACCTATTCCCTGGGTGTGTCTGAAGCTAAATCTGGGTCCAGGTGTGGCTCTGTGAGCCTATGATTTGTGTCTCTGATCCCTTGTCTGAGTGTTTCTGTGTATAACTGTGGAGTGAGTGTTAGTGTGTGTGTGTGTGTGTGTGTGTGTGTGTGTGTGTGTGTGGCGCGCGCGCACACAGGCCCTGGTCTTGTCTGGCTTCCTGCTCCTTTCCTCCCCCACCCATGCAGCTCAGGCCAACATACACTTCCTGAAAACACTGACAGAAAGAAAGAAAAGCCACCCAGAATCCCCTGGGGCAGACACTTCCTCCCCACCCCCAGGCCGCCACCCCCACTTTACCCCCAGCCCAATCTGGAATGAGACAGAACACCCCAGTGCCCTCTACCAGGGACTTGCTGAGTAGACACCCAGGAAACCCCGGCTGGCCCCTCCCCACCCTCACAAAGAATCCCACAGAGGCTGGGAAGGAGGCTCTTTGGAGGGAGCAAATTCTGCCATGCCAACAAGTGATCAGCCTTCAGGAAGACGAGAGACTGGCTGTGCTGCAGGGCAGTCAAGGGCGCAGGTTGAGGACCTTGCAGTGTGACTCCAGCTGGCTGCTGCCCCCTCTCGGCAAATACTTAATCTTCCTGAGGTATCTAAAGGTATCCAAGTACCAGAGGAGGAAACCGAGGCCCAGATCAGTCCAGTAGAGACTCTGTGGAGTGACCCTGGAACCCTGGATCGGAAATGACCCTTCTGCCACCCTCAGGGAAGCAGGTTCAGAGGGCTCACATCTATAAGACTTGGAGCTTGGTAGACTGGGCCTCAGGCCAGGAGCGGAGTCTGAATGTCAGCTTCCATCTGCTGGACTACGCAATTCTGAGCAGATTTCTCAGCATCTCTGGAATCGTCAGCAAATTCCCTATTACATCTTAAATAAAGTTGGGAGTGCAGACCCTTTGGGGGTAAAGTGGGGTCCTCTCAGGCCAAACAGAATGGTGAGCCTGGTTTTAAGAGTCCAGGCAGGGCCAGCTGGGACAAGGCAGAAGGGACCCCTTCCCTGCTGGTTTTCTGTCTCCTCTGAAGGCCTCTCCCTTTCCAAGACACCTGCGGTGACATGGGCTGGGTGGGGGAAAGGGATCTGGGGTTGTGAGCTGAGCCCTTTAACCCTACTGTTCAGCATCCAGTGAGCACTGAAGGCAGCAGCACAGAAACTCATGTAGGCTTCGTCTATTCACTCACACAACAGACTTTCTCATGCCTGCTGGGCACCAGGCACTGATCCAAATGGTAAGGATTCAGCAATAAAGAAAACCGAGGCTCTTGGCACTAACAGAGCTGACATTCTAGTGGACTCCTCTTGACATCACCTTTTCACACATGTACACACAATGGCTCATAACTAACAGCACATTAATACTACCCTTGCTAATTCACCACCCACAGCATGAGAACTCAAAAATGGACTCATGTTTTTGGAGTTCCCATTCCGCCAGCATACACAGCATACATGGGCACAGGTATGTGCACAGGTCCCTGGTGACCTTGCAAGTCACCACTGAAATGGCACATTAGTATCACACATCACCTCCCTTAGAACCTGCCTGGGTGTGTAAATACAGACACACTACCACCCTGACAGCTTGCACAAACTTGCGCATATATGGATGTGCATGCGTACACAAACTGGCCAGGCATGCCCTCACATGGAGTCACTATCTCAAGAATACATACATGCACACACAGCAGATAATCCCAAATTCTGCTGGGGAGCCTGGTGTTGGGCTGCAGCCAGGCAGAAATGTTCACTCAGCTACCACATGATCTGGTGTAAGAAGCTCTAAGATTGATAGAGTGAGATCCCCATCCCTGGAGGGGGCAAATAAGAACTGGAAGGCCCTATCAGGAAGCAAGGGGGCAGGGCAGGCCAGGCCAGGTTGAGCAGTCTCCCACCATGTCTCCCACAGAGGCTGTGAGGGGATGAGGTAGCCAATCAGGCTCCTTCCTGGTTCCTACCCTGCCCAGCCTTCGCCCAGTACACACACATGAGGCTCCAGCTGCGGTGAACTTTTCTACCACCAGAACACCCTGGGAGTACTAGGACTACAGAAGCCCACAATCCAAATGTGAAAGGCCCCAGGACACGGAAGCCAGGCTTTGCAGCCCACCACACTCTGCCTTAAGAAATAGTCCCAGCCCTGGCCGGTTTGGTTCAGCGGTTGGAGCACTGGCCTGCGGACCAGAGAGTCCCAGGTTCGGGTCCTGCTAAGAGCACATACCAAAAAAAAAGAAAAAGAAATAGTCCCAAATTGCAAGTAACTTTCTACAAATTCTCTCAGCATGGAATGAATTTTGGGTTCTCTCACTTCAAGGGGCCAGATTCCCAACCACAGAAGCCTGGCCTCCCACAGAGGTCGGCTATGTGGTCAAGTTCAGACAGGCTCTGAGAGCAGGGGCTGGTGCCCTAAGGAGTGCACCAAATTTTGCTCTATTTAACAAGTCTCCTGAATTCAGCTGTCAGCACTAGAAGAACTATGAAAGGCCAAGGAGGGTACCTGAGGGGGCAACAAACCTTGAGAGTAGCTCCTGATGGGAGTCACAAAGCTGGCTGGGCTTGCCCCAGGCATCCTAAGCAGGAATCCAGACCTCCATTCCCCCACAGGGAGTTTTGCCGCCTCCGCCTCTGTGAGCTCCTTATGAACAGGGCCCTACCTCCTGCCCTTGTTTACCCAATCAACACCACCACCACCCCCCTCCACCACCCACCACACCCCCCACCCCCAGACACACACACTCCATCCTGACAATGGAGTTAAAAGTAGAAATTACTCCTGCATGCAGGACAATGGCCACTAGAGGGCACAATGGCACTGGGAAACTCCAATCGAGGCTACAAGCCAGGCTCCTGGGAGACCCTAGTACTGTCCCCAGTTGTATGAACACAGGAAAGACCAAACCCTTTTTGTGCTTCCAGCAATCAGACTTCAAAACACCACAGCCCTGGCTTGCCTTCAAGGCCCCTTACTCAATTCCTCTCTCTGGGTGGGGAAAACCCAGGCCCTCCTCACAGGGGCTCCCTGAGCATGTATATGGTATGTATCCAGCCAATGCTCCCCTCCCTTCTCTGAACCTCAGTTTTTCTGCTTGAAAATGGGACACAAATCACCCTGGCCAGTTCGGTCCAGTGGTTAGAGCATCGGCCCATGAACCAGAGAGTCCTGGATTCAGTTCCCGCTAGGGACACATACCACAGTTGCAGTTTGTCCTCGGCCCCAGTTGGGGTGTGTGGATGGCAACCACTTGATGTGTCTCTCTCACATCGATGTTTCTCTCTCCCTCACTCTCTCCCTCCTGCTCTATCTGAAGATAAATGCAAAACTGTCCTCCGATGAGGATAAAAAAAAAAGAAAATGGGACACAAATCCCCCCAGAAGGCTTGCTATAGGTATGAAATGAGATCATGTAAGCAAAGCACCCAGCACAGAGCCCAACAATAATAGGGAACAGGAGACCTCTCTCTACACAACACTTCCTCCTCCAGAGGCCTTCCTGGATTAGGCTGACTAGGTCTGAGTGTTGCAATAAATCATTACACTCCTGAACACAGATCCAGCCCCAGCTAGGAATTCTCCCTCCTGGCTGGGCACCTCAATGAAGGCAGGAAGAGAGGGCACGTGTGAAGAAATGTAAAATGGAACGCCCACAGAAATAAGGAAACTCAAGAAAACAGGGAGTGCCAGGAGCCAGGAAGGTATAAAAGTTCTGAGGAGGGAGGACAATAGCATGAGGCCTGAGAAGTGTCCCTCAGTGTAAAGGGGAGAGACAGAGCACAAGCACCAGACCCTGGGCAGTCCCTGCTCCCCCATAAGCTCATCATCCGGGGCTCCCCACTTCTCCACACACTACCTCCTGACTCCAGAACATAGCCTGACCCCCTACAGTATCTGTTACCAGGCCCTACCCTGAACTCTAGACTTCCTCCCACACTAACAACTTCTGTCCCCAGATCAGTGATGACACTATTGCCCATCCAAGATGGAAACCTGGACGCTGCTGTGGTTCCCCATGCCCTCTCCACTCACGCTGTGGCTGTCCTCAAGTCCTGTCTATTCTAGAAACAACATCTCACTCCAATCTGCCTATTCTCTCACACAGCCTGAGCGAGGGCTTCTCACCTGGCCCTGTGCCTCGCTGGTCTCCTAGCCTCCTTCCCCATAGACCTCATCAGTGGCCAGATCCTTTTAGCACACAGCTTTCATCAGACCATTCTGCTCAAAATCTTCCTGGCTGCCCACCTGGCCTTCATAGCACATCACACCAGCACCACCCACAAGCCTCGTCCTCACTCTCCTAATAGTTCAGCTGCACTGTCTGCCAGAGTAACCCAGGAAGGTGCTTCCTATCTCTGAGCCTTGCATATGCTGTTTCCTCCACTGAAGTGCCTTTCTTACTACAGTGCCAAACACCACAACCCCCCCCATCCTCTAGGATCTTCTGCCCGTGTACCTCCCACCCTGGATGGTATCCACTCACCTCACAGGTGGACGGGGGGATCCAGTACGAGGGGGCACGGGTGGAACACTTAGCTCTGCCAAATGCCGCTTGGCAGGCAGCGGGGGCAGCACAGGTTCTGGGACAGCTGTGGACGAGTTAGAGAAGCAGGCAGGAGGAAGGCAGCTCCTCCGGGGCGGGATGGGTGGGGCAGTGGGCAGTCCCTCATCCTCTCCAGAGGCGGGCAGTTGCTCAGGTGGAGTGGTGAGTGCAGGCGGTGAACGGAAGACATGACGCTTCATGGGCACGGGCCGTGGGGTGGGGCGGGGTGCTGGGGCTGGGGGTGCATGGGCACGGAGCAGACCAGCCAGGATGCGGCGGCGGTGGCCGGGGAGTAGCACACCCATGTCCACCAGGCGGGCATCGCTGAGGCCTTGGCAATCTGTGGCCCGCACCAGTCCGTGATGCTCAAAGAGCCTGGTGTACTGCTCCAGATGCAATGCCTGCAGCCACTCGGCCACCGACAGTGCTGCATCCCCGGCCTCTGCCATGGTTCCTGCCAGCAGAGGCCAGCCAGCAGGGCTCTGTCCAGACCTGGAATAGATCAATGGACACAGGTCAGAGGCAGCAGCATGGCTGCCCAGGTGTAGTTTCCCAACCAACCTCCTGTGGCTCTCCCATGCCATGGGGTCAAGCTCTATCCTTGAGCTTTCTCCTCTGTGCCCCATGTGCCAGGCAAGCCCATGTACTGCCAGGTCTATGAACATACAGGCTTTTCCCTCTGCCTAAAACCAACCACCCCCACTCCCACCCCACCCCTGTGGCTGCCTAGCACTTAGTTCACATCTCCTCTAGGAGGCCCTCCAGGACCTTCAGAGTTGGTACCACCCTTCACCCCTATCCATAGCCTCAGTCATGGCTGTGAGACTGGCCAATGACTGTGTCTGGCACACACACACACCCTTCTGCCCTCTGTAAGACCCAGGCAAGGGCCCAATTCCTTCTGAGGAAGCAGTTTCCAGCTGAGGGCCAGGCCCAGGGCCTTAGCGAGTATGGGTGGAGTTGAGGGATATCACTGTTGGTCCCCCAGCAGGCCAAGTCTAGGGGTTGAACCTCACCCCATATGCATGCCCCTGGAGAAAATAGAATGCCCCAGGTAGCAAGTCAACCCAGTACACAACCTATGAGGTCCTGGCCCTATGAGTGAGTAACCCCACCCACTACCAAGGAAGAATCTTGTTCATTCAAGATAGTCTTGTACTGGGCAATGGGGACTCAGATTCCATCCTTGCACTCAAGAGCTCCTGGCCTGGCAAGAGCCTAGAAATAGATGATGCAAAGGGAATATGATTAACAGATCAAAAGGGGAAAGTCATCTGATCATCTCCACAGACACAAAAGAGGTATATGATAAAACTCAATATCCAGGGTATATAAACAAATAAAAATCTTATTAAAGTGATACTTCCTTAAACCAAAAACCAGCATCCTTTTTTGTTGTTGTTAATCCTCAACTGAGGGTATTTTTCTATTGATTTTCAGAGAGAGTGGAAGGGAGAGAGGAGGGGAAGGGGAGAGACAGAGAGAGAGAATCATTGATGTGAGAAAAACACATCAATTGGTTGCTTCCCACACACACCCTGACTGGGGTTGGGAATCAAACCTGCAACCCAGGTACCTGCCCTTGACCGGGAATGGACCCTTTGGTGCACGAGCTGACACTGTAACCACTGAGCCATACCAGCCAGGGCCAAAACCCAGCATCTTCTAAATGGAAAAACAATAGAAAATATTCCATTAAAGTCAGGAATAAGACAATGATATCCATTTCACTACTACTATTACTATTCATCTTGCTCTGAAAGTTCTAGAGACCAAAAATAAATAAGAGGTATGAAAACTGGGACGAAGGCCCTGGGCAGGTAGCTCAGTTGGTTAAAGTGTCATCCCTATACTCCATGGCTGCAGGTTCAACCCGTGGTCAGGGAATATACAAGAATCAACAAGTGAATGCATAAATAAATGAAACAACAACTCAATGTATGTCTCTCTCTCTCTCCCCTTCACACTCTGTCTGAGGATAAATGGAAAAGTATGCCCTGGCCGGTTTGGCTCAGCGGTTAGAGCGTCCGCCTGCGGTCCGGAGAGACCCGGGTTCGGTTCCCGCTAAGGGCACGTACCTCGGTTGCAGTTTGTCCCCGGCCCTGGATGGGTTGTGCGGGTGGCGGCCACTCGATGTGTCCCTTTCACATTGATGTTTCCCTCTCTCTCTCTCTCTCTTCCTCTCTCTCCCTCCCACTCTGTCTGTACAAAAAATGGAAAAATGTCCTCGGATGAGGATAAAAAAAAAAAAAAAAAAGAAAAGTATTCTTGGGTGAGGATTTATAAAATTAATTAATTAATTAATTAAAAATTGGGAAGAGATAATCTGTTACCAACAATATGAATTTTGAGTTGGACAGTCCAAGAAGCTCAACTGAGAAACTATTACAAACTATAAAATAATTTAGTAAAATAGTTGGGTTTAAAAGTAATATAATAGAAATCGATACTTAAAAGCAATAACCAGGTAAAAACTAGGATGAAAGACTCCATTTACAATAACATCACAAAATATAAAATACCAATAAACTTAATGAGAAATGTGCAAGATCTGCAGGAGGGAAGATCTGCAGTGTTACTAAGAAGCGAAAAGAAGACCTAGACACGTGGAAAGACACAGTGTGCTCCAGAACAGAAGACAGCATAAAGACAGTAACTCTCTTTTTTATAACTACATACAACTCTATTACATACACACAGAACTTTTTTTTTAGCTAGACAAGCTGACTTGAAAGTCAATGTGGAAAAATAAACAAGCAGGAAGATCCAGAAAAAGTCTGGAGGCAGGGGGTGAGGGAAAGGAAGGGTAAAGAGTGAGAATCAGCCTCACAACATATTAAAATATACAAAGCCATGATAATTAAAACAGTACAGTTGGCCCTCCATATTTTCAATACACAGCTGGGAGGCTACTGAAGCAGGGAGCTGACTACATGCATTATCTGTGCCATTTAAAAAATTTTTTTTTCCTTTATTGATTTTTAGAGAGAGAGGAAGGGAGAGGGAGAGAGAAAGAGACAGAAACATCAATGAGAAAGAACATTGATTGGGGAGCATGCGCATGCTCCCCACTGGAGATTGGGCCCATACCCTGGGGATGTGCCCTGACCGAGAATTGAACCAGGGACCTCTTGGTGCATGAATCAACACTCAACCACTGAGCCATACCAGCAAGGTATCTACCCCATTTTATTTTCTTTTTTATCCTCACCAGAGTCATTTATCTTCAGATAGAGCGGGAGGTAGAGAGAAGGGAAGAGAGAGAGAGAAACATGGATGTGAAAGAGACACATTGACTGGCTGCCACCCACACCACCCCAACGGGGGCGGGACAAACTGTAACCGAGGTGCATGCCCTTAGCGGGAACCGAACCTGGGACTCTCTGGTCCACAGGCTGACATTCTAACTGCTGAGCCAAACTAGCCAGGGCCATCTACCCCATTTTAAATAAGAGACTTTAGCATCCATGGATTTTCGTATCCACAGAACCCATTCCTCATGGATACCAAGGGATAACTGTACATGTTACCAGCACCTGGACAGATTGTTAAACAGAACATAAAATTTGAAAATAGACCTAAATACATATAAAAATTTAGTATACAATAGAAAGAATTCGAAGTAGATAGATTATTAAGTTGTTGGGATAGCTATAAAGCAATCTAGAAATAAAGTTGGGCCCCTACCTCAAAACTTACAACAGGATCAATTATAGAAGGATCAAAAATCTGAATATAAAAAAAGAACCAGCCCTGGCCGGTTTGGCTCAGCGGCTAGAGCATCGGCCTGTGGTCCGGAGAGACCCGGGTTCAGTTCCCGCTAAGGGCACGTACCTCGGTTGCAGTTTGTCCCCGGCCCTGGTTGGTTGTGCGGGTGGCGACCACTCGATGTGTCCCTTTCACATCGATGTTTCTCTCTCTCTCTTCCTCTCTCTCCCTCCCACTCTACCTAAACAAAAAATGAAAAAATTGCCCTGGCCGGTTTGGCTCAGCGGTTAGAGCGTCGGCCTGCGGTCAGAGAGACCCGGGTTCGGTTCCCGCTAAGGGCACGTACCTCGGCTGCAGTTAGTCCCCGGCCCTGGTCGGTCGTGCGGGTGGCAGCCACTCAATGTGTCCCTTTCACATCAATGTTTCTCTCTCTCTCTCTTCCTCTCTCTCCCTCCCACTCTACCTGAACAAAAAAATGGGAAAATGTCCTCGGGTGAGGATAAAAAAAAAAAGAAAAAGAAAAAATGTCCTCGGGTGAGGATGATTAAAAAATAATAATAATAAAATAAACAAAATAAAAAAAAGAACCATAAAGAAATTTTAAATCATCTCAGAGAGCAAATGCCTTTTGGAAATGATACAGACCTAGAAGGATAAAAAAGAAGTAAAATAGTCAACTATATAAAAAATCAAGCATTCCTACATGATTAAAAAAAAACCAAACACCATAAGCAAGGCCAAAAAATAAATGACAAACTAGTAGTATCAGCCATTCATATCCCAAACATAGGACTAACTGTCCTAAAACAGCTGAAAACTGCCTGAAACAGAGCAATAAGCTAAAAAAAAAGGGGGGGGGGGGGCAAAGGACATAAACAGAGAAATTTACAGGAAGGAAAATATAAATGGTTCTTAAACAGATGAAGAGAACTACACCTCCCCATACTAAGGGATGGTCAGGGAGGCCTCTCCTGGCAGGCGAGATTGCCTCTGGGAAGGGCAAGGCCACAGTAGCACTTCTGCCTTCGATCCAGCCATCCTCAGATACTTAGTCTGCAGTCTGACTGGTGCATATCCAAAATGACATACACAGACAGTTATGGCTATAATGCTATGTAAAATAACAAAAAGTTGGGAATAACCGAAACATCCATAACCTAGAGAATGATTAATTAAATTATGGTATAGGCATACAGTAGAATACTGAGTAATTGTACAAAATAAGGAAACTCCTTAGATATTGATATGAGATCTCCAATATATGTAAGGTGACTAAAGAAAGGTACACAACAGTATATGTAACATTCTGCCTTTTATGTGAAAACAAAAACAAACAAAAAACAAAACAAAGAGATCGATCAGTATGCATCTACTAATAAATACATAAAATACCTCTGAAAAGATTCATAGGAGACCAGGTTGCTTGGACCCTCTCCACTAAGCCTGGCTGCTTCTGAGGAAGTAAAATGAGGGCCAAGAGGACAGGAGGGAGGAAATGCAAAGTTTATACAATTCAGATGTCCCCTTTAAGAAAAAAAAATACTAAGTATCTTCCTTAGCATTTTACAATATATATAAATATTGAATCATTGTTATATGCCTGAACTTAATGTTTTGTGTCAATTATAGCTCCATTAAAATTGTATTTTAATTTAAAAAAATAAGAATATCTTACTTTTTTTTTCTTTTTCCAAATTTTTTTTTCGTTACTGATATCAGAGAGAGAGATAGAAACATTGATAAGAGAGAATATCAATTGGCTGCCTCCTGCATGCCCCACA